CCTCACAACCACATAGGATTATGTAAAATGAGAAAAATTAACTGTGAAAAGGGTTATTATCTTGACTTGTTATCTTGCAAAGGGAGGTGGATCCCTTAAAATTTGATATATTTTGTTTTGGACTATAAAATTTACCTTCCTTTTTGTGCAGTCAACTGCACAGACCTTCTTTGCTTTTGATGCCACCATAACCATGACTTCATCTGGTGAAAGCTGCAGAGAAGGTTTCCATATGTGATTTGAGAAGCATTTAAATAAAATCATCAGGATTGTAAAATTATACTGAGAAACTCAGAAAACTGTGAATGTCAGAAGTATTTATGTAATGTTATTGTCATGAGAAAACTAAGCCACAAACAGCAGTGGTAATTAGTCTGTGGTTCCGAGGTTTGCTAGCCTGTCCTGGACTTTATTGTGATTACTCAGTTCACAAATGACCTGTCAATCAGATCAAAGTGTTCACCGTTTTTGACAGACTTTTTGAAAACAGCTACGGAAAGTAACATAATTACACTAGCCTAAAATAGGGCTAGGACTTGAGGGGCAAGGTGGTACACCCCCCTGCCAAAAATAATTTCCAAGGAATACTCCTCTCTCTCCTCCAATCATTACCTTCCAAGAGGAGAGGAGGCAGGCTGGCTTAAGAGGGGGGAGGGGAGGCATGCTTAACTGTTTAGTTTAAAATTACCTCTAACGTCCAAATTCTGCAAGGATCACTGAATGGCAGCTGCCAACAACTTTTGAGGCATCCACTTACAAAGTTCAGAAGCTGTCCTCTATTGGTTGCTAAATACACATCCAACCCATCAAAGATAGAGTTAAAACATCCAGATGTCAGCTGCAAGGGTTCCCTTACAAGACAGCACGTTGCTATGGGAACATACACATCTGGAACTAATGGGATCTCTTGAATATCATTTTGATGATGATTGACACATGTCCATCTTGCTTTACCGTCTGACCTTGATCCCATGGCGATCATTTTGTTTTTGATTAACCCACACCATAATAGATTAAATTCTACTCCCAGTTGTTCATTCATCGAATTATCCACGGTTATAGAATCAGTTGTAAACTCCTCAAGTGTAGAATTATATCGCGCGAAGAAGACCGAGCCTTGAAAGTTCCAGCACACTGCCGGTCCATCAATAAAATAAAATTCAATATCTGATGTCTGCGAGGCTTGAATCTCAAAACTACCGAGCAAAAACAGTGAATCATAGTCTTCCAGAAGTAAAACATGGAATTCTCCTGTACTGGCATGCTTCACATAATCCTGGCCGTGGCGTAACAACAAACATGTCTGGTACATGCCTGTGGTCGAGTTTAGCAAAGACCTCGCACAAACAAATTCAAACTTTGATCCTGAGAGGCTAAGAGGCAACAGTTTCTTCACAGTTCTCGTGAAAGTTCTGCACGATTTGGAAAAGTGGAAGACATCTACTCCAATATGTTTTTCGTCACTGTTGATCGCATTTTGCACCGAAAATTGTATCACATCTCCTCCAGACGCCACAAGCGCCATGTTGGATCCAACGACAGGATGACACGAAATTCCCGCGGAGTTCTGGTCCAAACGCAGTCCTAGTCTCCCTCGTGAATTCACTGCGATGGGCGGGTGGGGAGGGCGGGGAAAGTGACGAAAATTTCGACTAAGTTCAATAAATTTTGAAAGACGTTTGGTTGTTCTTTTGCCTATCCACAAATGCCAAGGAGTGGGGAGTTTGAAAAGAAAATATATGCTGGGGTGAATGTCTTACCTTCAAGTACACCCACCCCCGCGTAGCTGTAAAATTTATGCTGAGATTTGACAATGTTATGACGAAATTTATCACCAATAACAGGACAGACGAATAAAAAAAATGAGGTCAATTTGTTTTTTACAATAACAAGACCCCAAAATGGTCCAATGCCGGGAATAAATGAGGGGAAAAGACGCCGTTAACTTGCCGTAAACAAAGAGAAGTGAATTTTATTCAAAATGACGCCAACATTGTCAATAGCTTTTCTCGCTTTTTGATTGGCTACTTAAAGAAGTCCATAAAATCTCTTTGGTTAAAACGTTGATAGTTTGACAGCTGAAAGTTGAACTTGAAAGCTTGCATAAATTAAAGTTTTATCCATCTGTACTCTTACTGATGATAAAAAGGAGCCAATCAGTGCGCGAGAAATTAGACAGTTATTGTAAAAAGTTAAATAGATGATGTTAAAACACGGAAATCATCTGACTCTATTTTGTCAAATTATATGAGATAAGTCACGATTGGATCAAATAAAACAAACGACATGAAAAAAATTCCATTTGGCTACATTCTCTGCTTTACAGTCGAACCTTTCCGCAACGGCCACCTTGGAGAAAGTGGCCGTTGTTGGGCGGTAAGGGTGTAATATGACA